TGCTAAATAATGATCTGAATATCTGAATTTTTTTTTTTTTTTTTGTTGAAGTCTAAATTTTATAACCATGAAATGAAATGACGTCAAAATGGAGCAATTATTAGGAATAGCTAGATGGAGATTTAAACTCAAAAAGACAATTATTACATTAGAGATGTTGTCCATTTGATTAGTGAGTAGCCTTACTTCTAGGTTGGTAAACATTGATGAATAATTATGATGAGGATGGAGGACACATTATGCGAATCTGGCTCAATGTTTTTGGATACTAATAAGATGGTTCCATCTTTGGTGCTGAGGACAGGAAGGCTTAGAAGACTCAGATTCCATGATATGACTTATCGTTGGATCCGAAGTATATGCATGATCTTGAACTGTTGTAGGTAATGCTATCTCCACCACAAATTAATATATATTTGATCATTTGTATGCTCGCCTTGTTCCCGAATTTAAGGAATATTAACGTATAATTTACTCAGTTTTTGAGTGACGGTTGAATAGGCATTGATAGTTGTTAGGTTAACCTGATTTGCAAGAAGAATCATAGGAGGAAATGCTTTCAAATTCAACCTACAGACCCAAAATGGGGGATTCATTCATGATCTCCTTATCCAGAGTAGTAGTAACACCTATTTCGATCAAAATTCTTGCTGCACTTGATTTATAAAGTCAGAGAGTAGCAGTATCCACTTGCAAGGGTTTGCCAAATATAGAGCCTAAAAAGTACAGCATAGATTGGTTGAAGTATTGTAAACTAAATCGAGCAAAAGAAATTCACATAGGAGTGATAAGCGGTTCCATGGAGGAGTCAAAATGAGAAGACCTGTTTAAAAATATGTGTAATAAAGCCACCTGCATGGTAGGATCAATGTGGGAAAAGTCTAAAGTTACCTTTTAATGATAATTATTAAATAATATGAAGAGGATCAAGAGGTGCAACATGGTCATCTTCAGTCAAATGTAAGTATGATATAAATGTACGTGTAGTCTAAGCTTGGGTGACTTAAACAAATTTGCCCACAATCGAGAAAGCAAATGAAATGACTAGCTTGGAAATCCAAGTCTCAGTGAAAATAAGAGCGTATTTAATATGAAGTAGCCGGTTGTTTTGTGTTAAAGGGGATATGATCCTTGCTAAAAAACCAAGGGAGCTTTTTTGGGACTTGAAGCTTTTAACCTTTAATCCCCCAAATACTTTGTCGAAGGACCAAGGCGTACAGCCACTAAAACATTAAGGGAGATACAACAATGCAAGTTCCCAAGTATTCTACCCCGACCTCATTTTCTGGCTTCCATTGTTCACTCTCATCTGTGCTTCTGATCTTAAGTGTTCTAGCCTTGATGTTGTACCACTATCACAGACTAATTAGCTAGTCAATTGGTATACTCTTTGGGCAAGGATTTTAGGCTAATATACTGTCTTTGTATGAATGAATTCATGTATGTATTGAGTTTATCAATTTTCGATACGAACTCAGAGAATAGATGTCCTACCCTTAAACAAGGAGATAAAAGCTTTACGTACAGAAGGAAATAAAATGGGTTGATTTTTTTTCTAGAAATTAAATGGCAATTTGAATCTGTTGTATAATGGAGTACAGTGCATATGTAACATCTACACCTTATTTACAGAATTAACACCCGTGACATTTTTTTTTTCTTGAAAAATGAAACTTGAGGATTTGTGCATGCCACAATTAAACTGTTGGGTGTTTGACAAAAGACAAAAAAATGTAGGTTGCGGCTTTATTATGAATTTCAGTATTTCGTCGAGGATTTAAAAAAATGGAGGTAGGAAGATGTTAATTTTGTAAATAACAAAAATTTCGGTGTTATCTATATAATTGCTCTTTTTAAGTAGGGAATTTTATAATTTTCCCTTGACTGATTTTATATAACTTGTACTGTTTTAAATTTTTTTTTTCTCATATGTATTTTCATTTCAAGAAAAATTAAACTAAAATTAGGACATGCCAGGTTATGCAAGAGTAGCATCCGAGAAAGTAGTTAGTTCATGTGGATCTTAAGAAGAGAGCTGTTGCACAAGAAAAATTATTACATCCGTCCGGAATCAAAATTTGCGTTCGGAATCTGGTGGGATTGTGCGACGTGGCAAGTGGGACTTACTCATCTAAAAAACCTTTCCAACCAGTGTATTACAGTGGGGTCCACTTGCCACGAGGCGGGTGATGCAATAATCGCTCGTTGTGCAAAGGGTCTTAATAGTTGTTTATACTCTTTCATTTTTTTCTTATGATTTTGATTTTTAGGTTGATGATATGGTTGAAGAATTTACAGACATCAATCGTGGTATGGAAAAGACTGGAACGTTTACCATGAAAAGAAAGAAGCTTTTTCAACTGGTGGGGAAGGCGAACTCAAACTTAGCTGATGTAATAATAAAGCTTGGTCTATTTGATAGGTGACTGTTTGCCCATTTTTCGATACTATTTTTATCACCATCATTGGAGATTGAGATTGTGAACTTGTCGTGAGTGACTGAGAGATAATGGTGATAACAAACGTCTTCTTACTCGGAACACTGCTATTGCTTTCCTATAGGTGTTTTTTGGTGTCATTTCACTTTCTTGTATTTACGGCAGTAACTTATGATGATGTTTTGTCATTTATTTTTGGAAGATTTAACTACATACCGCTCAATGCCCATGTATTTACATATCTTACACCTAAATTTCAATTTTTACATACATGCCACTTTACCTATGCATGAAAAAATGTATTTCACTTCTAAAAGTTAAAATGATGGTAGTTTTGATGTGATATGAATGATTTAGGTGGTATAAATGTGAAAAAGTAAAGTAGACGCGTTAGATTTGTAAATACATTAGAATTGGTCCCCTTTATTTCTGTACACGAGAGATGTCCAGTTATGGGTAGATTCAGAGTTTGTATAGGAGCTTTAGACAGAGATTAACTCAACTGTATTTTCCTGTCTCAATTAGATCCGAGATTGCTTGGAGAAATTCAAACTATGCCCAGATATTGGAGTATCTTCGTGAAGAGTATGAACTTGCTCAACGTTTTGGGAGCCTGAACTTTAAACTCAAATTTGTCGAGGTAAAGTAAACATTTGCATCTCCATTACTGTCCTCATTGCAATATTTAGAAGGAGCATTTACATACAGACCACACAATTCTTCTATATTTACATATCTAACACCTAAACTTCAATTTTTACATGCATACCACTTTACCTATGCATGAAAAAATGTATTTCACTTCTAAAAGTTAAAATGATGGTAGTTTTGATGTGATATGAATGATTTAGGTGGTATAAATGTGAAAAAGTAAAGTAGACGCGTTAGATTTGTAAATACATTAGAATTGGTCCCCTTTATTTCTGTACACGAGAGATGTCCAGTTATGGGTAGATTCAGAGTTTGTATAGGAGCTTTAGACAGAGATTAACTCAACTGTATTTTCCTGTCTCAATTAGATCCGAGATTGCTTGGAGAAATTCAAACTATGCCCAGATATTGGAGTATCTTCGTGAAGAGTATGAACTTGCTCAACGTTTTGGGAGCCTGAACTTTAAACTCAAATTTGTCGAGGTAAAGTAAACATTTGCATCTCCATTACTGTCCTCATTGCAATATTTAGAAGGAGCATTTACATACAGACCACACAATTCTTCTATATTTACATATCTAACACCTAAACTTTCATATTTACTCTCATAACTTTAACATTAAATAAAAAAACATCATTATTACTTCTTAGAAGTCAAATACACCTTTTCATGCATAGGTTTTTAACACCAAAATGTTACAAATGTAAATATCAAACATTAAAGTTTAGATATGTAAATACATGAGAATTGTGGCATGTATGTAACCTTCCTCAGATTTACAACTAAAACTAGTCTATTTGCTTATTCTGAACTCTCTCTGTAGACAGCACATTAAACGTCGACCATCTGATGATCCGATTAGGAGAGTAGATGTTTTAGATTCGACTTTTGTTAAGAAAGTCAGAGGTAAACCTAGGAAGACTTGGCCTTATTGTATAAAAAATGATATTAATTTATTAGAACTAAATGAAAATATGACACTAAATAGGACACAATGGAGCCAAAGGATTCATGTAGCCGATCCCACGTAGTGGGATTAAGGCTTTGTTGTTGTTGTTGTATTGTTTTCACCTGTCTAATCAATTTTAAATTGTTTTGGTCCTTGCAGCACAACATCCATTTCCTTCAGGAAGTTCTTCAAAACAAAAAATCCGATCTTCTGGAATGGGTGATCATCATACTGTTACTCATAGAAAACATAATCTCCATGTATGAGATTCTTAAAACTTCCACAGTCATTCCTCCTTGACCTCCTCTTGTCATTTTGATCATTTTTGTTCATCTGGCATGCAATGGCTCCTTTTTCCTTGATGCTTCAGCTCCGAACCCTAATTATGCCCATCAATTCCTGTTTAGATCATTTACTCTTTTCTATTTCGAATCCTTGAAGCTCAATTTTCCTAAACCTATCACCTGCCGGTTAAGTATTAATTCCCTCCCCTTCCTATGTTCTTTGATTTTAGTTTCAAGTATAATGCCTAAGATTCTCGCTCTCGCTCTCGCTCTCGCTCTCGCTCTCGCTCTCTCTCTCTCTCTCGTTCTCTTTCTCGGTCAAAATATACTCAATTTTCACCTCTGAGGCACAATTTATGCAAGCAGGAAATGTTAGTTGAAACTTAATGTTGACATGTTGAGGTGAAAGGTCTCCGTAATTATGCTCGAATACGTAGCACATCGGTTGAAGACAAAATGAAGTATCTCAATGTGTTGGGTAATCTCCTTATTTGATGTAAAATCGATGTGTGATGGAAGCGTAGGCAACTGTATTATGCATTCTTGTATTTACTGTTTTTTAGTTATTTTATATTTACATGTATTTATACACAAAAATGCAATAAGATGTGCTTTTACTTGTTAGTGAGACTTTAAATTATAAAAAGATGTAGGGTTACTTGTATAATAAGTTAAAATTTTGCATGCAAGAAATTTAGTTTATTTTTTTTATTTTATAAGCAAGCATGGTTGATTGTGGGTTTATTTTGAAATTTTGGTATTATTGTTGCGTTTTATTAAAATTTTGTTATAATATTATATCATATTTTATGATAAAATTGAGTATTATTTTCAGCATTTTAATATTTGGAAAAATGAAATAAACTATTGTTTCAATTTGTAAAGTTTTTGAGTTTCCTTTGCGCCTCATAGCCAAATTCTTAGGTATTTACAAATCTAACACCAAAAACTTTGCTTTTTTTACATTTTTATCATCCAAATCTTTTGTATCACAAAGAATATCACTATTTTAACTTTTAAATAGTGAAATTTATGGTGATGTCACGTGTTTGAATCATGTATATTGCTTTTTGGGCTCTTCTTTCTCGGGGAAAAAAAATCTATTTAAACTATATGCCAAAAATGTGCAAATACCTTATTCACTTTCTCATGAATGAAATTGTTTTGGTAATAGTATTGAAATTGGGCTAGAAGTTTTTGAGAAGCAATTAAAAGATCACATATTTTTTTTAAATTTGGAGGAGTTTGGAGTCCAAAAAACTTTAGGTTGTCCTTAAATCAATGGCAAGCTTAGGCTGACGTGGTGGAGTCACAATCATATTGCAAGCGGCCTTGTGGGGTTGAGGGCCCGTTTGGGGCAGCATATTTGGTGCGGTGGCGTTTTGAAAACACACCTGACATGTTTGGGTAAACTGCGTTTTGGTAGTTTATGCGTTTTCAAAATGCATAAAACATCATTTTAACACCGCACCTATCTAGAAGCGGTGACAACTTATTGGCAACAGTCTGATTTTTTCAAAAAAATAAAAATTTGTAATAGTCACCGCACCTAGCTTATCAGCAGATTATTTTTAATCAGCTTATCAGCAGATTATTCAATAAGCTACAGTTGCCTCAAACATATTAGACTCGTGTGGGTGTCGTGCATGATTTTTAAAGGCTAACTATGCACCATTTCTATCACAACAAAGCTTTTGGATAAGTTGGAGCACCTTACTTCTAAAGCACTATCCTATTTCACACCACACTCAGGAAGTTTCCTTGATTCGGTTAATGACCGTTAATTCTGAATTTCCTAAAACATAATATTCGGGCTCTCTAATTATTCTCATATTTGTTCAAAACATGAAGATTATATTTCAAAGTCTCTACAGAACTAAAATGACAGGAAGGAATTAACATGTAGCTCTTTCTATTTCTACCATTCTTAACCATTGGTTGTAACTCCTTGTGGGGACAACTTTGCCATGTGGGATGAGGATATTTTGCAAAGGGTTTCTCCCATATAATACATTGCCATCATCCTATTTTGGACTTTCAACCATAATGATACAACATGGGTCTCTCACTATTGTCACAACCCAACTTATAGAAGTCATAAATAATATGAACTACCTAAGTCGGAACCTAGCAGATGGAGAGATAGATATTTCTTTTGTTATACACTGAATATTTATTTGCATAAACTTAAATACTTATCCTTCCAAAATTCAGGATTCATGAAATCATTATACAGAGCCATACTCAGTCTATAAAACAAAGTTTTAAATTCACACAACCATAATTATACAATAGCAAGCATTTATACACTAAATTACACCATAATTGTCTACAAATAATAACATACATATATCCACTATTTTCTAAACATCAAATACATGTATATATACTAATTATTCTACTAAGTAGTCTTGCATATTTATCATTTTCTTTCATTTATCTAAAATAAGTGACAAAAGTGGATGTGATAAATTTAAGCATAATGATTCTATGAATTCATCACTTGAAAAAGAAAACTACATGCAAAGAAATACTATGTGCAAATTTATCTTTTTCATGAAGACAAATATCATTCACTTCTTAATTTATACGATGCTGATTCTGATCATAATTAGAAACATGGTACATAGTTTAAATTCTTGCTTGTTTCACATTAAAATGGTCATATACATATTTGAAAATGCTTACTTTTTATCATGACAAAATGCACGAATCATACATTTTAAATAAATCTTTGGATTGGTTATATTACATTTTCCTGATATTATTAATAATCATAATAGCACTGTGAGAATTCTTCATCATGTCTATGATCATCATCATATTGCACATCAACATCATAATCATGTTGTATCATGTATACACACCACCCAAACCCTTATATTATTATTCACGCCCCTTTACATCATATAGAGAACCAATTGTTAGTATTCTTTTTTTATCATGTAGGAAAACTCGTTAGTTTACCCTCCTACATCAGGAAATCTTGAGATCTACCCACCCGACATCGTTCATTTAGCCGTAATTTCACTTTACATGCATTTTGACCATGCAATGTTTAACATTCTTCATTTCAACTGTACTTAAATTTTAAATAATGCATACCATTACACACATCATGAATAAGCCGTGATTGAAGTATTCTTTCATGATCCATTATTTCTCAATCAAAATGATATTTTTATAAATCAAAATTCATTTTATAATATTTCCTATTAATATAAAAATCATATTTGGTAAGTGTAAAAAAGTTAATTTTAAGTAGGGTTTTAGCTTGCATGCATTCTATGTGGATAACATGAATATAATCATGTATTTCAATGCATATATAAATAATAATTACTTATTTTAATAATTATATCATTAGAGTAACAAAATATACAATGATTTAAATTAAGGTTTCATGAAAATATAATTATTATATTTTCATGAAACCTTAATTTAAATCATTGTATATTTTGAAACCTTCCATATAATTTGGCTAGTTCATTTTGTGACATTATGCTCATATATAGTAGTCCAACTTTTCATATTAATTTATATTGTAATTTTTTCTTATTGATTATGCTATAAACAAAATTATATAGATGAAAGTACCAATGAAACAAATCAGATTAAAATATGGACATGGAATAGTGACTTGAAAATTCATGTAAAATTTTAAACTAGTTCAATACATCAAACTTGCTTTCAACATAAAAGATCTATAAATCATGAATAGAAATTCATGTCCCACTAATATGTATCACACAAAAGTTAACTTCAATGAAATCTAAGATAAGTAAAGGGCATCCTACCTTTTGAGAGCAAAACAATATAGGAAATTGTCTTCACCAATAAGCTTGACTAAAATCCTAGCTTTCTTCCCCTCCTTTTTCTCTACTGCCTAGCACTTATCCACATATTTACTTAGCAAGTTTCTGAAGGGAAAAAGTGTTTTAAGCCCATTTCCCTTATCAACTATCTGGCCATCCATTCCAACCAATCCAAATCCTCTTTCAGCCCTTTCTCCATGCACTTGATACTCTTATTTTATGTAATACCAATTATAATATTATTAAATTATACAATATGATTATATATATATATATATATATATGCTAAGTTGACCAACTTCCAATATTTCAATCATAACTTCTCCTTTCATATTGAAATTACATGTTTTTATATGTTATGGAAAGCTCAAACAATCCTCCACAACTTTAATATTGATGACTTTGTCCAATTCAGTCCTTAAGATAACAAAACAATAAATAAAATGGTGAGTTAAATTATAGATATGGCAATATTTGATAAAAATACCAAATTTAAATAATTTTTTTTCTTATCCAATATTTATGTTTTTATGTGTTATGGAAAGGTAAGAAATATATCTATAACTTCTATATTAATGGTTCTATTTAATTTAGCCAATAAAATTGGTAAGACATACCAACATCGATGGTAAAAACTGTAGTTTTGTGCATGTGATATTTTCTATAGAACATTTTTAGCATATCATAATCCCTACAACTAGTGACTAATAATTAATGACATATTATCATCATATGTAAACATATTATTAATATTTATAATAGACTTAGTATTACTTTTATTATGATTATCTTACATATGTCATGAGCTATTACAACCACTATGGAAGAACTAAAGTAGTACTTGTATTTCTAGCGTATGAAGTAAGACAAATTCACTTGGAGCATGACAAAAATACCTATAATTGAAGATGATTTCATTGTTAACTCATTGTGGGCCCAATCATCATGTTGAAGCACCCAAGATAACAATGTTGCCTCGAATCGTCATAAAGCTATATAATATGAAATCGACAAGCTTACGTCCATGATCATCTGCTCACTTTTAGGTTGAGAGCGGTAGCAATTTGAACCACCTAATTTTAGTGTATTTCTATATATTTTTAAAAAGATGGCCAAAACATCCTTTCCAAAACATATGAATAAGTCATATTTTATCATATTTTAGAAAAGAATTTTTGATTGTGGAAAGTATTAGAGCTCAAAGTATTTTTTGGAAAACCATCCGATTATGTCTATTTTTTCATACATCCATACTTCTCATATCTACCTGATCTTCAAATATTATTTTATATCAGAGGAATAATTATGTCTAATGCATTTCATCATAGGGCTACTAACATTCAACACAGTCGATCTCCCAATATTTTCGTTATAATTTTTCTCCTGAAATTTGGCATCTTCCTAATAATTAGTCTAATAAATAATTAATTATTAATCAAAATATTATAATAAATTTAAGTTAAATTTAATCATTAATTTTAATCATATTAAAAAAATAATTAAATTTAATCGTATTTTTTTTATTTGAATCAATATAACACCCTTTTAAATTTAAGCAAAGGTTGCCAAACAATTTAACAAAATTTAACTTAATTTATAAGATCTCTTACCAAATAAATTTTGAGATTTAACTTTTCATAATTTAATAAATTTTGATTTAGAAATTTACTTAATACTTATCAAGCCCAAAAGTTTTAAGAAAATATTGCATCTTGATGGCATTGTTAAGATTGATGATATTTGTGATATTATTAGTGATATTGTGATATTATTACGTCATAATATCACCAATATTATAATAAATACCAACAATATTAACAATTTCTCCTAAATTTCATGTCACATAATGCCATTAAAGTCGCCTTTTTTGGCGTGCAAAGCCCACCAACCATAGCTTTCTTCCCCTGATCATCAATCTCGTCTACCTACCTACCCCTTCCTCAAATCATCTCCTAACCGGAAAAATTATTCCATGCGGATCGGCGTCCGCACGCAGCCTGCGTGCGGCC